GTACTATATAATATACATATACATATACATATACATATACATATATATATACACACACACACACATATATATATATATATATATATATATATGCTACACCATACACATCCACAGCACCTATCCCATACCTGTACACCCCCTTTCCCATTGTCCTGCGAGTGTGTCGAGTCTTTTCTCTCGATGTGGTTCTGCATGTTCTTCACAGACTTGATGATCCCAACCTTGGCCTGTCCCGCTGACTTACTTAACTTGTGCATGAGCTTCTGCTTTGACGAAGCGGTTCCTGCCGCAGGTGCCGTGGCCATATTAAACGCTTGGGCTCTATACATACCGTGAGATGTAATGTAAGAGTACACATGGCATGTATCAGCTATTTATAGAACGTGATAAAGTATGTCACACGTGCAGAACACTAGTCGATTTGCCTTTGCCCAGGATAGGCACATTACGATGCGTAGTAAAGGTATCAAAGACAAGCAGCCACCACGCCTCTACTGACACAGGTCAAGTAGCTAGTAACACTGACATAAACAATACACACACACACACACACGCATATATATATATATATATATATCAGATAGAGGTATATATGAGTGATGAACAGGGAGGATAAGAACACGCACGTGTTGCGACAGGGAGCAACCGAGCGAATGTGTGTGACCATGGTCATTTCCCTGTAAGCTGCACGTGTTGATATTCCAAAGGAGGCACAGATCCGCAACCCACTATAACACAACGCCATTTGTAGTATGTCATGTGCATATAAACCATATGTTCTTAGGAGATTCGGAGACTGTATTGGTATGAGGAGCAAAACTGCGGTGGCAGAGGTAAAGTGTGATGAGAAACTATCAATAGACAGTGAATTCGCACTCTGGACCATGTCATTCAAAAACCCATGACATATACACAACACCTATTACGCCAGTAACTAAATATTGAGTACACGTCAATACAATATATATATATATATATAGATATATATACAAACAACCACCTACAAATTAATATATATATATACATATTATATTGGTATACATACGATACTAC